GCACATATAAAGGGTCTGTGACCAGAACAAACACAGTAAATTCGAGCATCTTAAGGGCCAAAGTTATCAGAGCAGTACACGGAGAGGAGAAAATGACATGACAGTAGGTTCCCAGGCAATCTGAGGATGTGTGGTTTTGTGGGGTATGATAAGAGTCTTTGTTAGTGATCTGCTCTAGCTGATTCATGTCAGTGAACAAAAGCAAACATGATTTCAACATAATTTTAGTGTATCTGTAGTTTGAAATTGGTGATAGTAGGAAATATTTACACCCCAGAAAACTGTAGTCATGATATATCACAATTTTTTCCCTTGGAGAGTTTATAAAATATTTATCAGCATACCATTGGTCCATAGTCTAAAGCAATAAAGAAACAGATAGATTGAAGGCAAGGGGTGATGTCCTCCCATCCCTGCAGCTGTCTTCATGGGACATCTCCAAGTCTTTCATATCCCCTTTACCATCTACCAATGGTTATTTCTTTCTTGCTCCCCACCTCCTCAGGGAACTTGGGGGATCCAGGCTTCTTTCTGCACCTCCATCTCCCTTCACAGTTGGGGAGCTTCTTCTCCTCCACATGACTCTTCACAACTCTTCCCTTTGTCTTGACTCTCAAACACTGCATGCTAAATTAGCTGTCTTTCAAGCTTGCAAAATGTAGATAGAGTATAATGAGCCTTCTGGGCTGCTTGTAAATTACCTTGTATCAGCTCCTACCCATCGTTGGCTGCCCCATCTTTCTCTATGTGCATGTGAGTAAACAGAATTTTTATCTTTCTAATTACATAAAGTTAGAAGAAGAAAGGGACACAGAATAATATTAGCATTTCCCAGAACAGATAAATAAACCATGAGGCTGCTGCCACTCTTTGCGTTGCCTTTCTGGTAGACCTGGATCTGAATTGTGTCCTCTAAGGAACGCATACATCACTATTGTCCTCTACAGATAAACAGATTTGTCTTTGGTCAGATGGACAGATGGAGAAACATCAGCTTTCTAGGTTGTCTCTACTGTCACCCCATCATGTACCTCATATGCAGTCCCAAACCTCCATCTATTGAGACCCTGCTGTATGCCCAGCACTATCCTTTATTTCTTTAGTAGCAGTTTTTAGCTTTATAGAGAGTCTGAGTGGCAGGCACAGAACTGTGTACCACTTACATACTGTTTCCCCTTTCATCAACATTTCACATTAGTGTAAAACACTGGTTGCAGCTGATGGACCAATATTGGTCCATTCTTTTTAGTTCAAGTTCATAATTTATATTAGGGCTTGCTTTGTATGTTGTTCAATTCCATAAAATGCATATATTCCAATTATAGTATTTTATAGAAGAATTTCCTTTCCCTAAACATACCCCTTGCTCAACCTATTTAAACTTCCTTCCTCTTTTTCTAAGCTTCTGCCAAGGACTGAGGTTTTTATAGGTTCCATGTTTTGTTTTCTTTTGTTTTTCCCTTTTTTGGAGTATTATATTGTTAGAACCATATGTAGAATCAACATTCAATGTAGCCTTTCCAGTTTGGCTTCTATCACTTAACAATATGGGTTTAAGTCTCTTCCATGCTTTTTATAACATGTGAGTTCATTTCTTTTTATCATTGAATAATATTCCAGTATGTAGCTATATCACCCTTTATTTGTCCAGTTCTCTTACTGAGGATATGTTTGGTTGTTTCCATGTTTTTACAATCATGACTAAATCTGCTGTAAACATTTGTGTAGAGCTTTTAATGGAGACATAAGATTGCAGTACATTTTATAAATACCAAAGAATTTAATTACTGGATCACATGGTGAATAGATTCTTAATCTTGCATGAAATGGTCCTACTGTGTGTGTTTCACCAGCAATGAATGGGGGAGCATTCCTGATACAAGCATTGGCAAGTACTTGGTGGTATTGTGGTATTTTGTCACTGTCGTATATGTAATATTTCACTGTTTAAATTGGCAATTCCCTAGATCCTTGAGTCTTAGTGCTTGAATAAGACACTCTGCTCTAATCTGGCTTTCTTCTCTGTCTCCCCTGTTACTGTTTCCCTTCACAGTCAGTGATCCCAGAACATAAGACTCTTCACAACCCAATTCCCACTGAACCTACTGCAATGACTTGGCTCTTTTTTGGATCCCCTCTTCCACAGTTTCCTCTAAGAGAACAACTTTCTTGATGCCTGTGGGTCAAACCTTCCTCACTTTTAATTCTTCAGTCACATTTCAGTACACAGAACTCTCTATTCCTTGTTGTCTATATCTTGATGTCTTGTTTCTGTGCATGATTCATCTCCTTGAACAAATTGCCCCAAATCCTTAAGGATAAAGCTCACTTGCTATAACTCTTTCTTACTTCCTTCACTTAGACTGGCACACAGTAGGTACTCAACAAACATGTTCTTGATAAATAAATGTATATGCTGATAGATACCCTGATGGTTAGAGACACATTACTCTTTAAAGATATTTGACTAGAAATAGTTTCTTTCTTCTGCTTTATTTCTAATGATTTTTGCCTTTAGATATATGTATTTTTTTATTTTATGCATTAAAAAATACCCTTTCAACATTCTAAACCAAGATCTCTGTTCCCACTGTTATGGTCTCCAGGCAAACATAATTCAGTAAGTAAGGAGATTTTGATCTGCCTCCTTAGCATAGCAGGCAATTCACCAGTCTTATAAATAAAAAAGATTTTGAACTACTGAGTCATTAATAAGAACACTGAATGGAAACAGAATATACATTTCCTTTTTCTGATGCTTACAAATTCTGTAACTGCTGGTAATAGGGCTTGATAGCCTGGGTCAGAATCAGGTCTCAGTCCTACTGAATGGCAATCCCCAGGAAGTTCCCCTCTTTTTGGGACTGAGGATTGGAGATTGGGGAACACTCACTTGCACAGACTCCAGCAGTAGTTACCTCTGAGATGCTTGGAATTCCGCAGAACAGTACATCACACCATGTTGGTAGAGCAGAGTGGACCTTAGAGAGTAGCTATACAATCTGTGGAAGTACTTAACCTCTGTGAGCCCTACTTCCTTCCTGTATAGTCAGAATCATAGTAGCACATCACTGTGACCATAGTAAGATGAAGAAATGTTTGAGAGTAAAAGTGAATAAGTTAATGTATCCAGTATTGAGGACTTCTAAGGATTTGGGGAAAGTTTCAAGTTCAAACTCTCCTTATACCATACTCCACATCTCTATCTCATTCCCACCCAGAATTGTTGCCTACTTATGCCTCCTTTTAGTGGCTTCCACTGAATTTTTTCCTCCTTGGAGAATTAGAAAAAGCATATCCAAGCATGGTAACTACTGCCTGTTGATGCTCAGAACTGATTCTGAGCGAATAGACATGAATGGTGTCTTATACCAGCCCAGGTCCTGGTTTGTCCATTGCTGGACCAATTCCTGGTCTTCAAGTGATGTCACATTGCAAGGAGCCAATATGTGCAAGATGACTTCTTTGCAACCAGAAATTCTCCTCATTGTGTACAAGTCCTGCCTACGAGGTCTATGTTGGCTCTAGTTGTAGCAAGTTGCCCCAACTCTAGAGTTCTGAAAATGTTGCTCCATGTCAATGTTCATCTGGCCCTACGAAGGTAGCGACCCCTTGTTGCTTTTCTAAATTATCTCATGTCTTAAAAGTTTCTTCCATCAACTAGCTAACAACTTCTCCAGTTATCCTCCATCGTGAATACACACATGGTTTCTATGTACCACTTGGAGCCTTTTGAAAGTAGGAGCATGTAAACTCAGAGTTAACAGATCCCCAACTTTTCTATATTCTGTTATTCAGTGGTCATATGGCCAATTTTCATGAGCCTCCATTTGCTCATTTGTAACAAGGACTAAAGGGATCATGCTGCCTCTTTCCTAAGGTCACTCAGAGCAAGCAATGAGGTTTTTCACTTATACACTCACCAATACTCACTTTGTGTTTATCCCCTTTATGGATTCAAGGAATGGAACAAGGATCAAGATAGCTAATGCTTCTATCTCAATAAACCAGTTAGTACCAGCAAATGCATTTATAACCTGAGGAGTACTATAAATGTCCAAAAGGAAATGTTGGTTTTCCTCCTTAACCCTAGGAGGACTTAGGATGCCCACACCTCTCTATTCCACTGACTGTGATCCCCATCTCTGCCCTGGAGTATGACAGAATTGTTGGAGGTGAGGTATGCAATAGTAGATTCACAATGATCCAGGTAGCAGACTGAGCATCCTTCCTTCCCAGCAGACTCAATCAAGATGTTCCTTATCATGTGTATATTAGCATGTCAGAATTGACTTTAATTAATTGCAAAGGATTATCCAGCCTTTTCTGATGTACCATTTAAAGTGATTTTAACTCAGTGTTATGTGAAGCAAGCATGCTACCGACTAAAGCCCGTACATCTTGTTTACGTCTAGATTGTGTTTGAAAAGGCATCTTCAGTAACATAATTTTTAGTTATTGATAACCTCTTTTCTAATGATTCAGTCCTCGGTTTAATAATGGCATTGATAACAATACATTAACAACAACCTGTCTGTATCAGTGCTCCAAGAGACAAACATAAAGTAGTTTGTGTCCATGGTAAACAGCTAAACTTGCTGTTTTCTCAAAAGCACGTAAATGCAGTATATTCATTCAGACATTCAGACGCCATGACATTACATGCAGGGTGTACCTAGGTCAGCCACTCTTGTTTTGTCCCATGGAGCAGGCATTTCCATTCCCAAATTAATGATGAAATCACTAAGATATAGGAAGCAGGTGACACACTTTCTCAGATGACGGTGAAAACATAAAGTAGGAAGTAGAAAAGGGGTCCTTTTTCAGATCTCTAACCTCTCAGTATCTCTACTTCCTCATCTGTAGACAGCATACCTGTGAGAAATGGCATGGTACCTGGTATGCAGTAACTAAGTGGAGGCAACTCTAAAGGAGAAAAATACTGATGCCCCACCCCATAGCTCCTCATCAACCACTGCCTGCTTTTGTCCTCTCTACAGATGACCACTCCCGAGTGAGGCTGTTGGTGCTGGATGGAGACCCTCACTCAGACTACATCAATGCCAACTACATTGATGTGAGTATCTTGATGGAGCTAAGAAGCTATGAGCTAGAGTTGATGGTCCAGGCTCAAGCTTTAACTAACCTGTTTACTAGGAGGTAGTCAAAACATGTCCAAAGTAGTGCATCCCTCCCTTAGTTCATATGACACAAGTTGCTTATCTACCCAAAGCTACATCTGTTTTCAGAGCAGACTGCAGTCGTCTGCTTTCTAGAGCCCCAGGGTAACTGCTGGTCTTATGTATTCATCCCGTGTATTGATTTTTATGTGTCTATATACTCAGTCATTCATTTGAAGGAACAACCACTGATGCAACAAAATGTTCAAAGTTCTCATCATGTGCTAGATATTATGAGGCCCATAAAACTAGAAACTGTCAAGGTGTCTACCCTCAAAAACAGCAGAAGAGAGATAAGCTACACACATCTGTGGTAAACTAGGGTAAACTAGAACGTGATGATTGTTATAGGTTCAGATAAAATACTGTCAGGATTCAGAGGTGGGAAATTATCACATCTTCCATCAGGAATGCAGAAAACAATGTGAACCAAAGCTTCAAGTGTAAGTAAACTTCAAAATCGAAGTGAAAGATGATGGGCCTTTGGTTAGAGAACTGCTCTTGCCAAGAGGAAGGCACCTGGAAGGAAATAAGCATCACCTCTGTCCGAGGGTAGTAGAAACTATACACTGGGAAAACTGGGAAATGAGGTTGGCATGAGATCCTTGACGGCTGAGGAGGCTGAGCTCTGAAACAAGACGATGCTGCTTTTCAAGGAAATGCTTGAAGGAGTTTGAACATGGGGTACCCCGTTCATTACTGAGCTTTATCATTTATCTGCTACTGGAGGAAAGGTAAATCAGAGAGGGGAGAGCCTGGAACTGACAACCAAGTAGGAGTGAGGCTGTCCCCGCATTCCAGACACTAACAAGAAAAAGACCAGATCAAACAGGAGCTGCGAAGCGTGTGCACAGAAGTGAACGGCTCTACAAAAGAACAATAGCCACTCTTACCAGGTGGACATCCCAGCATTACTGATCCAAGCTGACATCTCCAGGTCTCCGCTCAGAGCCCAGAGACCTTAAAGAACGACGTAAGAGATTCCCATCGATCCCTCAGACTCTCAGATATATTTATAAACCAGCTATCAAGTATAGTCACGTGCCTTGTGAATTTTCTTATAACATAGCCTTAGCCAGATGGTTCATTAGTTCAACAAGTATTTCATGAGCCTTGAACCTGACAGCACCCCACACTTTACACGGAGTGAACACTCAGCCAGCAGATGCCAATCCAGCCTAGATTGGTTTGGTTCCTTCCTTTTCTCCTCTGTCTTGATTATGGCTAGGTAGATGTGACTGACCAAAGGATGACCACTCACATAGAGCCTTGCATGCCTGAGTTGCTAAAGCTTTCTGGCCTTCATTATGGGAATGGAAGCACCCAGCAAAATCACATTCCTAAAGGTAATCTCAGTCCAGTGTGGGTCATCTGTCTGTTCATCCCCTTGACCCTCTCTAGTCCTTTTTCCTTTGCAGCTGGTAGTGAATGTGCACTTGTAAGCAGGGACATAGCATTCAGGGAAGGACAAAAGCTTTCTCAATAAGAGGGACTGATAAGATACCCAGGGATGACTGGAAGAGGGACTCCAGGGAGCCTCTGCTCTGTTCCTTCATGATCACATTCAATCTATACCTCCAGCTTCCATCAGTTTGAGTTCTAGCTCCTTCCAGGCAGCCTCAGACCCTGCACTTGTGATTTCTGTCTTCCATTGTTCCTCTAGGGGCTCTAGGGACTGCTTATCTGAAGGTTAACCCATGGTTCCTTTCTGCCATCACACTCCCCTCGAACCTGTAAAACCAATTCTCTATGTTGAATTCCCTATATCTGAAACGCCCACGGTGCTTTCCACTTCCCTACTGGGTCCTGCCTAACCAAGGACCTACTGTGTGACCAAGACCTGGAGCTAGAGCTTCAGAAGAAATTTTAAAAAGAGGGTAGTCTCTATCTCTGTCACTCTTCAGACGATTCTACAAGGAGGACTTCAATTGTGAGCAGTTTGTCTCCAGCAAGAGCATGTTGCTCCAAGCATTTACTGACCATGCTACTAGCTTTCCTCTCTAATATTCATTTTGTAAATACCAAGCCAACCTTCCACTGTCAGTGCTAGACATCCTGACCTTCCACATAAGGATTCTGTTTGGTAAGAGGGGTCAGATGAGGAAAGAGACCTTCCCAGAATGGGGATTGTCAGACTGAAGCCTCAAAAGGGAGTCTGGTGAGAAGCTTCTTGAAGGAGATGAATTCTTAGTCCTGCCTCAGAAAGTGACAAAACATCAGCTGTGCATGAAAGGGTCATAATAACCTAAGAATTAGTGATTGCTTCTCATGGACCAGTATGTCAACCTAAGTAGTAATTCAACCTCACTGGATAAGTACCTCCAGGAACCCATTGACAGATGAAGAAGCTGGGTCTCTCACTGTTAGGTAAAATATCCAGAATCACAGCCAAAAGTGGTAAGAGAGGAGGAGCTACAGTTTAAATCAGGAGTGCCAAACTCTGTTTATTCTAATAATAATATCTGCAACAATGGTATTTGGCTATTAATGAGTCTCTCCTGGCCCTGTGAGGTGTGCTTTAAGTGATCCAACTTACTAAGACTTCTTAGTAGCACTCCACAGTGGTGCTCATCACTCATACTTTGCAGACTCCGTCTTTGGGGAAACTGAGACTTGAAGAAATTGAAAAGTTTATCCAATGTTATATATCTGGGCAAAACCTGGGTATGAACCATGGCTGAGTATCCCAACCCAGTGCTCAATTTTCTGGTTCTACATCTACCCCTGACACCATCCCATAGCCTGCATTTAGTGGACACTCAGCTAGTTCATGTTGATACAGGTTAAACTGGTTCTTTTCTTTCTTTCCCATCCTGACTGTGGTGAGGTCGTATTACAGTCCTAAGGATATAGCACATGCAGAGTCTCACGTACCCAAGTTGCAAATCTATCATTTAATATCTAAATGAAAACTTCATAAACATGCTTTTTCTAGATACTTACTCATTCTACAGTACAATGAAAGGCTGACCATATGTAGAACAGAGAAATTTTTATGTCATATAGGTAGCAAATGAAATTGCTTTAAATGCAAGTGATTCTATAGTACCAGTCCTAATCAGGTTTGTGATTTCTGTCCTGTTATATCATTAAGAAGTATTTTTGCTAGCCTTTAAAGACAAGAAACCAGGGACTGAAGTTAAGAGCACTGCCCTAGGTCACACAGCTAGACTTTAATTCTCTGCACAGCAAGGACACAGCACAGCCCCCTCCTTTTCTTTATAAGAAGTAGACTGTACAGACAGGCAAATGTCTCTACCACATGCTGTCCTAATAGGCAGTGTCAGGCTCTGAGCTGTGTCCCAGTGGTTAGCATCAAGGACTAATGAGACTATAGTCATGAATCCCATCCTTGTTGGGCCTGTTGAACACAGGCCTTTCTGAGGACTAGCTTTGTGACTATGAGTAAAGTATTTATTCATTCTGGTAGCTGAACAATGCAATAAAAAAATTGCCAGCCCACAAGTATGTGGTTACTACTATAAAGCACCTATCAGGGTTCCAAGAGGAAACAAGCTGGCTCACAGGTATCAACCAGAGAACGTTTAATAAGAGCCAGAATAGTTCTGAAGCAGATTGACCAGCTTTACTGTGAGGGTCATCCTGAGGCTAGAGATGGCAGAGATCTCAGAAGTTCTGTGGCTAGATAAGCGAGTGGCTATAAATGGAATAGCTCTGTAAGGATACTGTAAGGATCAGGCTGTCTTGCCCTTGCCAAGGAGAAGCCAGCCCTTGCTGACATGGCAAAGAAGAATCCAAAGGGTGTATTGATGCCCTAGCCTCCCACTGGCCTCTAAGCTTTTGCATCCTCTCCTGGTTAGAAAATGTACCATAGAACCCAGAAGACATGAGATCCTACATTGCAATTAATATGGTCATTTGGTGATAGTTAAATAAACTGTTTTGGCTCCCCATGGGTCATATGTGTGCATCTGCTCAGGAACTAATGAAAGACACACATATGCACACACACATGCATGCACACACACACACACGCACTTGCACACGCATGGCAGGTAATTTTTTGACATTTTGTGACTAGCTCAAAGACTGGGCCCTCTTAAACCTTCCCCTGCTACCCTAGGCCCAATCAGGGAAGTAGCCAGTGACTACTTACTTGAATTCTCACATGGTTGGTTGGCTTTCTCTCCTACAGATTTTATGTCCCATCCCCAAGTCATGGCTATTTTCTCCTTTCTCCCAGTTCCTAGCCCTCACAAATCTAAAGGTCCCGTCTCAGTCTATCTCCTCAGCCTTTGGCTGTTGGTTCTTTATTAATAGATCTAAAGCCAAACGGGTACAAGAACCTTCAGCATTTGGACATGCAGATTCCTGATTTTGGAGGCCGGATTATCTCAAAGCATTGGAAACAATCCCCAACATTGTTACCTCCTATGGCACATAGCAGAGTGTGGAAAGGACAATGGGGGAAGAGCAGGGACAAAAAGACACAGAACACAAGTACCCTCTTATGATGTTACCAATATGGGGCAGGAAAAGGAAAATCTCATTAACTGTGAGCCTACCTGAAATTCCAGTAGAACTATATTCCTGTAGTCTCCTGGGGATTCCTAATAACCAAGAAATAGAGTCGAGGTGGGGGGCGGGGGATATGAGCTTATTTAATCTTTGCTGCTTTACCCTGGTCTCCACACCAGCCCAAAGACAAGAGCTGGCTGTTCGAGCTAGAGTCCCTTCTTCACAATTGAATCCTGACAATTTATTAAAATGACTCTTTTTGGATAATGAGCTGGATGAGGCCAACCCTGACGGAGCCTCTGGAGGCCATGGTATGCTGCTGTCTGAACCAGCCCACTGGCGTGTTTGCTTGCATACCGGAAAATGTATTGGCCACTTGATTCTGTTATAAATTACCAGCCTGGAAATAAATATCATAGTTGGGTCCACAGTAAGTAACAGATGCAGGAGTGCAGAGTGAGATAAATGTGTTTTGGATGCAAACCTCCTTCTGATTGTTCACAGGCAGATGGAGGCAGGCCCAATGCTAGTTTGCAGTCACTCTGTGTGCTATGTAGGTGGGACTTAAATGAACTGAAAGTTCTTTTAAGGTTAGGAAGTTTTCTGCACTCGCTCTTGGCAAATCCCCAGAGGAAACCCATTGGAGCAATACATTTCCTTTTATCTCCTTTGCTGAGGAATCTCATAGTTTGAATTTTTTCCCTCTGGGGACTGTGTGGGTTTCTGGAGTCCAGAGAAGGTCTTTTTGCTTAGATGCAGCATGAGGACAGGCACATGGCACACATGCTTTCAGTGGAGTTTACCAGGGTTGGCAGCCAGGACCAACATTTCAGTGCTTGAGAGCACTGCCTCTCGAGCAAGCCAGGTTGAGCCCTACGGTTGAACAACCGTAAGATGGGAGGAGATAGACAAGGGTGTAAATGAATAAGCCATCTGGTGATTCATGTTTTGAAGAGAAGGAAGCCAAGGGAGCTAGAGAGATGGTTCAGTTGGTAAAGTGTTTGCCATGAGAACCTGAGGTTGATCCGTAGCATTCATGTAAAAAGCTATGCTTAGCAGCACTGCCATAATCCTAGCACTGAGGGTATAGAGATGGCAGGTTCCATGGAGATTCCTGGACAGTCTAACCCAGTCAGTGATCTCCAGTTTCACTGAGAAGAGTGATTGGTAAAGACCTCTGACATCAACCTCTGGCCTCTGCACACTTTCACACACACACACACACACACACACACACACACACACACACACACACAGGAAGCAGGAAAAGAAACCTGGGAGTAAGAGAGAGAAGCGGACAGAGATCAGATGAGTGCTGTCTCAGACGGTGACTGTAAGTAAAGCAAGAATCCAACCAAGAGTGAGAGAGAGAGAGAGAAAAATACTTCATTATCCAGGAACAGGCAAAGTGGCCTGATGCTAAGTCTTCTGGACAAATGTCCCTACTGCTCCTGAAGAGGAGCTATAAGTCGGGCTAGGCAGACTGCTAAAGACTCAAAATGGGAATTCAGGAATGTCAAGAGGCCCAAACTAGAATTTAATTAAACCATCACTTCCTCAGGGAACATCCTTCTGGCTTCATGGCTGAGTCAGTTCCCACGGGTGCTCTCCAGAGCCCCACATTTTCCCTCAGAAGTTCATATCCCAGTTTGTAGGTGCCTGGGAGCTGCTCCAAAGGAGCACTCACATCTACCTGGTTCACTTTTGAGTCTCCAACATTATGTATAGTAGAAAGCATTCCTGTGATGCTTGCTGCTGGAATCTGAAATGAGTGTGCAAACGAACAAAAGCACAAAATAGTGAACCTCAGCAGCCCAACCTCACAACTGATGTATGAATTTCTCACCCAAGATTGTTTTCACCATTAACCTTCAAGAATATTTGAATCTTCCAACCCTTAGTCTCCTCCAAGGTCTTTGCCAATATAAAACCAGACTCATGCATGTATCCTTCTGACTAACCTTTGCAGAAAGCTACACCCAGCTCTGAATGGCATGTCTCATGACTGAGGAGAATACAAAAGCTCTTAGTTCTGTTCATATCCCTGTATTCGCTGAGCATATGTGAAACCCCACGGATTCTCTCACAAGACAGGAACATCATGATGAAGTGATGAAGGAGTTCCCTCTGTATCACAGAAGAGGTCACATATGAAGTCCTGGGTAGTGAGGCTGGAACATAGGATACATACATTGAAAGAGTGGACACAGAGAGACAGCCAGAAGAAAAGTTCAAGATAAGGATGAGATGTGCTGTTGGTGTAACGTGAAGCATTGAGAAAATTGTGCAAGCAGAGTAAAGTCAATGCAGACTCGAAATCCTGACACCTCAAGTGTATCCCGAGAAGCTCAGTATTACAGAAAGCAGATAAGATTCAGAAGTGAAAATGGGTTCTTGGAGGACATGGAAAAGTTGATACTATGGCCCAGGCCAGGGATGGAAGACTGTGAGAACAGCTGGTGACATAGCTGGCGGAAGAGTGTAGACACAAGAAGCCTCATCATTCTGGGCTCTAGGGAGCCATTTCTGTTTCCAAACCTACTCAAAGTCCTCAGAATCTAATTCTTCTATCCAGCCGTCATAGCCCTGTCCATCTTGACTTGGAGTGACAGATACACCTCCCCATTGCTTTGCTCTGGGGGGAAGGCTGGGTTACTCCTAACAAAGAATGACTCATCTGCCCAGAAATTTCTAAACATTCAGTATGCACTGTTAATCATTGAAGGGGTCTCTATAAATGTTTGTCAAATGAGAAATAATATAATAATAGCAAAGACACAGTGTGTAATCTTAGAATTGTGTCCAATACATATTATAGGAACTGATATATATTAACTTTTAAAATCTTATTTACTATACTTTAAATAGTCTGATAGTCTTTTAATAAAAATATCTGAGATCCAAAGAAGTTAAATAAGTTATCCTAAATGACCCAGCATTGGCCCAGAGACCAAGATTCAAATCTAGTCAACTGTGTTGGTCTACAGTACATATAACCCATATGCTGTGTCTTTCTGGTTGGTTTGCCATAGCTCACTAATTTGCTATTTGCTCTGAGCCTATATAGGCTCTTGGAGAATAGTTTCTATAGAAGTCAGTTGTATCAACTGGCTGTCCTCATTAAGTATATGGGACCACTTGCAGTAATTGTGGCATATGGTTAATCTAACCATGTAAGTTGGGCTTTTTCATTACTGTAACTAAGTATCTGAGTAAGGGAATTTAAAAGAGGAAATGTTTATTTTGGCTCACAGTTTCAGAGGTATCAACCAGTTTGTCTTAACAAGAATGTATGGCAGAGTACAACAGTTCACATCATAGCCAAGAAGCAGAGAAAATAAGTTACAGAAACAGGAAAGGATGGAACACGATGGAGTCCCCATGATCACTCTCCAAGTTCCACCAACTACGCCTAGCCTCCTACTTTCCCCTTTCTCCCAATAACACTATTACATTATAAACCATCAGAAGTCACTTCATTCCTTGGGCCAGGGCCTTCATGATCTAACTGTCCTTAGACAGACTTACTTGGGGGATGGGGTGTCATTGATCCCCTAAGCATTTCTCAATCCAGTCAAATTGACAATGAAGATTAACTATTGTAAAAAGAGTTTATGGTTATAATATTGGTCTTGGGTCAGTGGTGGTAGGTACTCCAGATAAAATATGAAGAGAAATTGGGAGAAACCTTTTAAATATGTACCAGATGAGTGAAATAGTAAGACCTTCAAATGTGCAAGGGACCCATACACTAATTTTTGAGTCATCACTTGGATCCAGGGCTTCAGAGCCACCACCAAAATCTCCAGGGCAATTCTGGCTTACTTCTTCACGGAAAACTTGAGCCACCTCATCTTCTCTAATGCAATTTTACAGTGTTTAAACTGAAACAGCTATTCACCAAACTTTGATTTCCAGGGACAGTTAACCCTAAGTGTAAAGTGTATTCCAGGACTGTCAACAGCAATTCAATCTATCTAAGACTCTCCTGTAAAGTACCTGCCACACGATCATTAGGACTGAGTTCAGACCCCTAGCATGCATGTAAAACCTGGGTGCATAGTGACTATCTATAATCCTAGTGCTGGGGCAGGGGAAAGAAGTTGATGGGAGGACGCCTCAAGCTTACTGAACAGAAAACTTAAATGAATCACTGAAATCCAGGTTCCGTCAGAGACCCTGTCTCCAAAAGTCAGGCTGAAGAGCTATTAAGGGGGTCACTCAGTGTCTTCCTTTTACCTTAATATGCATGTACACATATAGTCACAATTCATTCAAATGTGTACCCACATATACATATGCACAAACACACAAAACCAATAAAATTTAACTGCGTATCTATCCACCCATCCATCTAGTCACTAATGCTAATCATGTTTGATGATCTATATTCAACTTAAGCTTTTCTTCCATGTAATATACAAAGACGCTGTTCCTCTGGAACAAAGGAGGCCCTCCCTCCATTCCACTCCCAGTGAAAAATCAGTGACACCTACAGCCTCTTCCCTCATGGTTAGGATGTCATGAAGCACCAAGTTAGCTCCATGCCAAAGGTCATCAGAGCTTAGGGGAGCACTCTGAAATAGCGAGGGAAATCACAAACTGGTCTTCGCATTAGTTCTTGGCTATCTGAGCTCACACTTCCACACAGTCCTCTCTGTACCCAGAACTTTACTATTACCAGAGAGAAGCAATGTGACATCCTTCCTATTTCCTCTCTATGATTGTTAAGACTGTGCAGTCAGAAAAAGAATTTGCCTTTTCTGTTTCCTACTCCAGGTGCCCCATGCTAGGCCTGTTATTGGGATCCATATATGATTATGGCTCCAAAAAGGCTTGTTGGTGGTTTGTTGTGCACCATAAACCTGGAATGCCCTCTCCCCTGTATTTTTGGGTTCATGAACATAAGGAATGTCTATGGCAAACCTTTATGGGTCACTCATAGGCCACCACAATAACAGCCAATGCTGTCTACATACTCTACACACATGGCCTTATATGGTCTTTGATACTCCTCTGAGATGCTATTCTCATTTTGCATATGAGAAGACTAGGTACCTGGGAAGAGATGTGTATTGATGTTGTGTTGTTTTCAAGCTTTGAACAGAAACCCTTCACTATGTTTTTCTCCTATTATCCAGGGATACCACCGACCCCGGCACTACATTGCAACCCAAGGTAAGTGTCTTGGAGTGACTCTTAAGTCACTCTTGATATTCTCAAGGATATCAAGGTAGAGGGATTTAAAAATAAAATCAAAGTAAGCCTTGCTAACCACTCTTTCTCTCTGTGTTTTCACAAAAGTCTTTCTCCACTAGTGCCCTGGCTTCCCCTGAAGGAAGGAGGTGAGCTTTTGCAGACAGAATAGTCAAGAGAGACAGGGCAGCTTGGCCTCTAGAAGTCCTTGAGAAGCAAGGAGATGACAATTCCAGCTTAGAATGGCAGCAGAAAGAGCTGTCACTGGGAAATATCAGTATGAGATAAGAGACCATGCATTGGTGACCAGAAGATAAAAGCCTCGATGGACCACCCAGCAGAGGTCCCCATCCATTTAGCGAGTGCTTGTCTACAAAAAAAGATGCAGCCAGTTGCTTTAGAATGCAGTGTGGCAGTATACTATCAGAAGGCTTAAAATTGATGATGCCTTTTAAAGCTTCCACAGGAGAAGCCCTGCAGATAATTACATGTGTGGACCTTGACATATATAAAAAGCATTCTTTACAATGTTATCGTGTCATTTGTAATAGGAAAAAGTGGGAAAATCTTAAATGCCCAATAATAGATAGGTTGGTTAAATAACATATGGTGTCTCCATGTTGTAGAAAACTCTGTAACTATGAAAAATATCATTTTTGAGGACATGAAAAAATACTTATGATAGCCCTGGTACTTATGACAGCAAATGCAATTATACATACAAAAACACAGAAAAAATACTATTCAAATTTTCTTTCAAATGCATAAATTGCTTTTGTAATTTTAAAAATGATGAAGACCCAGGATATTAAGAGTCATTTCCTAGGAAATTGCTTTGGACTGTCAGATCCTATCTTCCACTCTTTGCTTTTCTGTTCTTTTTCCTTTTTTCCTTCTTTTTTTTCTATGTTTTAATCCTTCCTTTCCTGGTCAAGCTTCAGATGAATGTCTCCAGCATTTGTCAAACTCAAAGCATTGCACCCCTTATTATGGGCAGCTCCACCCTCCCTACCCTACCTCCCTTGATACCTCTCCTTGAGATCCTGCTGCCCCTTGAACACAATATATACTACAGTCCAGATAACATGCTGAATCAGGAAAAAGTGGAGCTTCTGGGTTGAGCATGAGGGTTAGGATGAGGATGTAGAGGATGCTGTAGACCATGAGCATCTAAAATGTAGCTTTTCTTATCTCTGCTGTGTTCTGGACCCCAAAGACTCATCTCCAGCCTCTGTCTCAGCTACTTGGTATCCTACCAAGGCTCCTCTGGACTCATTCTTGCCCACCTATATAAATCCTTGATTAAACAGCCAAGAAAGACAAACCTTCCAGCAGCCGCTTTGTATCTGCAGTCTCTAACCCATCCCCTTTTCTGTTACCAGGTCCAATGCAAGAGACCGTGAAGGACTTTTGGAGAATGATCTGGCAGGAAAACTCTGCCAGCATCGTCATGGTCACAAACCTTGTGGAAGTAGGCAGGGTAAGCCTCCCCTTCAGTCATGTGGGCAGAGGGTGGTGGAGGCAAATGCTGGGGCCCCTGTTGCTTGCATTGTGCCACCAGCTTCCAAAGCTTTACCACACCTTTACAGCAGCCTACAGGGACGGGGGAGACCATGCCTCCCACTTCACATCTGAGCAGCATTCTGCTCCTTCAGCTCTCCCATCCCATCTCTATCCTCTCTCTGTTGACTATGTCATCTCATATATTTTGAGGAAATGAAAGCCATCAGATATGAACTCTCTCACCAACACATTACAGATCTATATTTGTATCAGCAACCATCTTTACATTCTTTCCTTCTGTTATCAGGTCTAGCCAAGAGAAAGGACTGTTTTTGTTGAGCCCAAAAGGTTGATTATTGGCCATTTCTTATGACAAAGCCCAATATGAAAAACACCAAGTACCAGCCTTTGATAGGTCACCTCTGGAAAGATGCTTTCTGAGAAGTCACTGCAAGAACAAAGTCACTTTGTTTGGCAACCCTCCTCAGCATTAGCCCACCATTCTTTATCCGTTAGTGAACCTGGCCTTGCCTGAAAGAAGAGAATGAACCTTCACTAGCAAAATGAAGAAGCCAGAGGGAGGGACAGGGCAAGAAAGCAACCAGAAGTCCCTGAGAAGCAAGTGACATGTTCAGCTATGAAGGGAGGCGGAAAGGACCTGTAACTAAGATGTGTCATTGAAGGGAAGGACCCAGGCAGGGCAGATCAGATGTATTAATATCATCAGGTGCAAGCCACCAAGGCTCAGAGATTTTCACGTATTTCCTTTTCATTTGAAAAATCATACTGGTCCTCACTGTTGAATTATTTCCTTCAGCATATAAATATGCTCAGAAGGACAAAATCCACCAGCACATGAGTCACAAAACAAAAACACAAATCATCAAATGCCAGTGGGATAGTAGGGATTGGGAGGGCAGTTGATGGTGAGGAGGGAAAGATGGGAGAGGAAGAGAGTAAGCTGAATAAATTATATTTATTATGAAATTGTCAGAAGAAAACACAAAAATGGTAAGACTATAAAATAAGTTAAAACCGTCTGAAAGCCAAACAAAAATGCTTTCCCCGTTCCCACTTTTCTGCTGAACCTCAAGGACTTACATGATGCTGTGTGTCTCCACTCACTTCTCCTCCACCCACATCAACATAACGGGTCTCTCCCTTCCACCAGCCATGATATTGTCAACTTGACTCCCTTCCTGTTGACAAACCTGGCCTCCACATCTCTCTCTCCATCAGTCTTCTCCTTTCAACAGCCTGTTCTTCCTCCCCTGCCTATGAACCCTCACCTTTCTTCGGGGCTCAGGCCTCTGTCTCCCTCTCTGTTCTATCTAGATTCGGTCCTAAGTTGTCCTTAGCAAGCGCTTGGGAAAGGAGCTACTATTTCCAGTTTCACTTTTGTTCCCATGATTAGCTGTGGCCTGTGGGTGGATGGGCAGGCTGCATAGTTGTGGGGCTGATGTACAAATATCTAGACTCAAAGGGCTCCCATAGTGTATACAAACTATATCAAAAGTGGACAGGTAAGTTCATATGGCTAGTCTATTAGGATAAAGTGTGCTGGCCTCAGTGGTGGGGAAGAAGAAGCTATCCATTCTATCACACTGTATTGAAAGGATGTGGATATCTCATTGCTAATCATGGGTCAGGGCAAAATGAGTCAGTATCCTTGAACATTCACCATCTGACCCATTCCTCAGTTTTACAGATGAGGCATAGATGGAAAAAGGTGGATACTGTTCAGACTGTCCTTCACTGTTCAAACTGTCCCCCCATTCAGACTGTCTCCCACTATTCAGACTGTCTCCCACTATTCAGACTGTCCCTCACTGTTCAGACTATCCCCATTGTTCAAACTGTTCCCTACTGTTCAGACTGTTCCCCACTATTCAGACTGTTCCCCGCTATTCAGACTGTTCCCCACTATTCAGACTGTCCCCCACTATTCAGACTGTCTCCCACTATTC